GCGGCTTCGGCGGGGAAGGAAGGGCGATGGGAGGCTTCTCTGAAACTCCAGAGACGAAGTTGTCCAACCTATTGTAACCAAACCTAACGGGCTCGCAACAGATCTTTCGATACAATCTTGAAAGCTGTCAAAGCAAACAACTTCGCGGTACAAAGTATTCTCCGGCATGGCGTGTGGCTCCATGTCTCCAGCTTTGTACACCGCGAACTTCTCTTCACTTTGCAAAGAAATAGTGCGTAAGTTGCTCCAAAAACGCAACGTTGCGAAGAGATGGTTTGTTAACTTCCAAAGCGATTTCTTTGAAAGTTCGAAAGTAATAGTTAACAAAGCAAAGAAAAAACTTTGTAACAGAGAGACCTTTTACGCGTACTTAGCAAGGATTTAAGAGTGTACCAACGGCAGCTATTACGCTACTGGTGGCAGATCTGAGGTGTCACGCAGACAAGGTCAATAAAAATTAAAAAACTCGGTACTCTCCGAGTATCATCTGCTTTATGTTAAAGTATAAAACCATAAACCCGCCCCAGCGATGAGAAGCCGCGTCCAGCCGCCGTTCCCCCACCCACGGGCCGGCGCCCGAACCGATGTGCAAATGTGCCAGGCATCTTCCTGCATTGAGACGCCAGTGGCGCGGCGGCGTGCTGCCGCATCATCAGTGTGGCCACTGAGTGTGCCAACCCCTGCCCGGGGTTCGGGTTCGATCGAGGGTTCGATTCCGAGACGCGCCCCTACAACGGAGTGGCTAGACTACACAGTGGGCCAGAAGACCGGTGGAGGCAGACAAATCTCTTGACGCGTTTTGAGCTCCAGAGTCGCGAAATGGGACTCGAACCGGACGTGTGACCCCACTAATGGATTCCTCGTTCGAAGAGCAAACCATTGGTGGGGTCACACGTTCGGTTCCAGTCCCATTCAGCGTCTCTGGAGCTCAAAACGCGTCTAGAGGTTTGTCCGCCTCCACCGGTCTTCTGGCCCACTGTGCGCTAGACTGCCGGCCTGCCCGCAATACCGACAAGGCCCTGGCGCCGGCCGGGCCGACTGCCTCGCCACCAAGTCCCGCTCAAAGATGCGGCATTTCAATGGAGCGCGCAGACAAGGGAAACGAAAGCAGGCAGGCACGGGGCCGCGGGCGGTGCCAAGGCGAAGGCGGTGCACTGCTGAGGAGACACGCCAGCCCGCCAAGTCGAAGGGGGCAGCGGGACCCGCAGCAGACGGCCGTGGCACGCCGGCGCGGCGGCACGGGCCTTTGAAGACGTCGACAAACATTGACTGTTGGCGGTTTGTTCCTTATACTCGGCGAGCCCGGCGCCGCTATTGAGGCATGCGGCACCAGGAGTTGGAGATCTCGGTCTTGGCGTCGTACGGAGGAGGCGGGGGCCGACCGAGGGCTAGGTCCCGCCGCAAGTTCCAAGAGAACGCCGAGATCGAGTCCAAGTCTAGTCGGCGCACTGTAAATGTCTTACGGTGAAAGGCTGCACCAACATATGGTGGAGATTTTCTCCATTATACCAACGAAATTCGTTAAAATATCTATAAGGTACAGTGAATTCTCAATGGTATGTTACGAAGTCAGCTGCACCACCATAATATGGAACATTTTCACCATAATGTGGAGAATCTTCACTGTAGAACATTTAGAGTGCGCCGCACCGGCGCCTACCCCCACGCGGGTAAGGCGTCGGCGTCGGGAAGGGAAAATGGGATGCACCCATCTCCAACTCAAGCTAAGCAGCTCATTTGCTCCCTCAAGTCAGCGAATGGGACTCGAACCAAACATTTTGATGATGCCGATTAGTTTGTCTTCGCACCAGCTGATCGGTGATTCTAGTTCATAACTATTCAGCGTAAACCATTGACCCCAACGCGAGGGGTACCTCACTTCGTCTAGTCAGTGTACACCCCTGACTCCAGTCACTGCCTTGTTTCAGTCTAGTCCGAGGGGGCAAAAACTCGCGCAATCATGTGTACACGGCCCCCGAAATCACACGCGAATCATTGAGAATCACGCGAAATCAAGCAATCCGAAATCAGCCAAAATCACTAAAATCGACCGAAATTAGGCAGAATCACACGAAACCAGGCCAAATCAGTCCGAAATCATTTCTTTCCGAACACAATCACACGCAATCACGCTCAACATCACCCTGGTGCGTCGCGAAATAAGGCAAAATCAGCCATGAAATCAATTTAAACCATGCGCAATCATTGTGTTTTCCGAATCATGTGTACACGAAAATCCCGAGTTTTTGCCCCCTCGGTCTAGTCACTGAAAAAGTCGGCAAAACCACGTAAATTTGTCCCAATTTTAGTATTTTTGCAACGCATTTCGTCATATTTTCAGTCTAGTCAAAGTGGAAATTGAGTATAGTCACCAGTCAGTGTACACCTGTTTTCGAAGTGAGGTACCCCTCGCCCCAACGTTGTCCGCTTGGGCAAGGCACCGGGCCAGTGTGCGCTGGACCGAGCACTGAACAACAAGACAACCCCGAGGGGGTAACCACTCGCGTAATACCCTGTACACCAAAACCGTGTATTACGCGTAATACACGAGATCGTAATACCATTTTTGGATCAAATAAGCCAAATTTTGGCATTTTAAGGCCGTAATACACGTGTAATACACCGTAATACAGCGTAATACACTCAAAAAAATTTAAATACTAAATTCTGTAACATGGTTACGCAGTAATTTCCACTACAGATGTTACAGAATTTTGTATCAGCACTGATACAAAATTTTGTATCACGCGTTACGGTAAACTGTTTCCCGGTTACAGAATTCTGCAATGCAAAAATCATAAAAATTTGTCGTTTTATAAACAAAATTTGAACCTCAACGACCGTTCGTTCCTACACTTTCGCTCCGTCGCTCCTGTACTCCCGAACACCCGGAGAAACCGAACTGCGTTCTCCGGAACCGAACCCCGGTCCCCCGGATTGCCAGCTCGGCATGCTACCGCTTGCGCCACAGCGCCGTATGGGGAGGCACGCCTCAGACTGTCGATGACACCGAGCGGGCACACTGCATGCCCAGGTAGTGGCGGGAAACGAGCCCTGCGGCGCGACAGTTGGCGTTCCTGGCCCAAAGCTTCTAAAAAACCATGCCCAACGTTAGGACTTTTCGCCCGATCAACTGTGATGTTAAAATGAAGCTCGTAATTTGACTTTAAATTTGCGTTATTAATTTTTGCATCAGACGATATGTAAACTTGTAACGATATGTTACGGTTTTCTGTATCAGTTACAGTTATTTGCATAAAGATCGCGTTTTTACATGAAACTATATCACTGATTGTGGATATTGAAACGAAAAGTACAGAATTTTGTATCAGTTTTAGAATTTTGAAGCACTAATTCATAAATTCGTAACATTCATGACGTGATACAGAATTTAGGATCAAGGATACAAATTTTTGTATCCGACTGACGTGTTACAGAATTTTGTATCAAGATCGTTACAAAATCCTATATTATTTTTTAGAGTGTACCGAGTAGTCTGTACACGATTTCTTGAAGTGTTTACCCCCTCGGACAACCCGGCCAAGGGTCCCAGGGCCCATGGCCCAACTTCCTCAAAGCGATATTCTGTCTTCTTGCTCCTCGGCACACATGCTGTGGTAAACATGTTGTGCTCCTCATTAGTCTGCACCGGTTTAGCGGAGAGGGCGAGGCGAGGGCGAGGCGGAGGACGGAGAGCGAGTGCGCTTCCAAAGCAAAGGCGGGCGCTCTCCATTCTCGGAGGCTTTCTTTGACTGCGAAGCGTAAAATATTTTCCGAGGAGAAGACGCCCCGTGGCGTACCGGGCTGCTGCGTTTGAGCGCGCGTCTGGAGCGGCGGCTCGGAACGTTCGCTCAGACGCTTTGCTGCCGCTAGCGAGCTCGCATTGGCGGAGCGGTCCACCTAGGCGAGGAGTGGGAACGCCTCGCCCCACAGTGGATTTGCCAGAAGACCGGTGGAGGCGGCCAAACCTCTCGACGCGTTTTGTGCTCCAGAGTCGCCAAACAGACTCGAACCGAACGTGTGACCCCACCAATGGATTGCTCTTCGATCGAGGAATCCATTGGTGGGGTCACAACGTTCTACTCGAGTCCTGTTTAGCGACTCTGGAGCTCAAAACGCGTCTAGAGTTTTGGCCGCCTCCCCCGGTCTTCTGGCCCACTGTGGGGCCGCGTCTCTGCGTCTCGGGATTAAAAGGAGCCTATTTCCGCGGCCGCAAACCGTTTTCCCGGGTTTCCTCGCGATTCCGCTCCCGCCGCTGCGACACTAAGAGAGGCAAGCGGAGGCGAGACGGAGAGAGGGAGAGAGGACATACTCCCGCGGGGATCGCCATCCCGGCCCCAGCGCGGCCACCTGATCCCCTGCACGAGGCGAGGCCTCGACTCGTCCATCCCCGATCCTCGCCACTCAGTCCAGGCGTGGCTCGAGGCGTGGCGAGGCGTGGCGTGGCGTGGCGTGGCGTGGCGAGGCGTGGCGTGGCGAGGCGTGGCGTGGCGTGGCGTGGCGTGGCGACCCGCGGCCGCGACACGCCTGAGCCATGGAGGCCGCAGGCAGTGGCAGCGCTTTACGGCTGTTTACGGTGGATCATGGCGATCTATGCTAAAGCGCCACAGCAGCCGAAGCAAACCGCACGCCGCTGCGCCCTTAGCTCCCCCCCCCCCCCCCGCCCGCCACCGCGGCCCGCGGCATTGAGATTAATGATGGGCGTCGCGCGGCCGGACAATTAGTAATCGTTGTTGCGCCCAACACTCCGTCTTTGTCAAGCGCAAGCCCCAGCCGCCCCCACCCCGCCCCGCGCCACCGCCGCCGCCGAGAAGCAGTCTAGTTATCGCGCACGTGACCGGGAGCGTTGAGGCAGGTAAGAGTCGGCGGAAAGCACGCGTCCAGGTGCGTCCTGCCGCTGCTGGTGCATGCGTTGCTGGGGGGCCAATTTAAGTTTCCTGCTCTTTTCTTTTTGGTATTTTTGCGTTTGTATGGGTTAATGGGCATTGGTCAACACGGACTCCGATCGTCCAGGTCGTGATTTCGGTATCGTGATGACACTGGCACACTGGGCCGCTCAGGCGGCGCCTCGCTAGCGCTTTGAGATCTTGACGTGCACATCTCCTTGGACCCTGGTGACGAGCCCTCTGGGGTCCACCCTAGGTACGCGGCGCCTCGCTAGCGCTTGGAGATCTTGACGTGCACGCCACCTTGCACCCTGGTGACGAGCCCCCTGGGATCCACCCTCAGAGGGTACGCAGAATCCCGGCTCGGTGACACGCGGTACGCCCTCATGATGACTGTGAGCGCCGACTTCATCTGCATCATGGCGAAGCGGAGGCCTGCCGCGGACAGAAGAACAAGGATGCAGATTCCTCAAGACCAGAGATTTTGCAAGATTTCATCCAATTTTACGCCATAAATCTGCCTTTTTTGCCTTTTGGGGAAAAGATTTCGGATTTCCAGAGATTTCTATATGAGGCTCCAGGGGACACAGGATTTCTCGAGAGGTCACCTGAGCTTGTCAACTCACCTATGCACACCCTGGGGCCCTCTCCGAAGGGGATGTAGGCGAAGTGTGGACGGTTCATCTTGTTCTCCTCTGTGAAGCGTTCCGGGTCGAAGCGGTCCGGGTCGGGGTAGTACTCCGGGTCGCGGTGGATGGCGTAGACGGGGATCATGATGCGGGTGCCCTTCTCCAGGACGGACTCGCTGTCGGGGAGCTGGTAGTCGCGGGTCACCATCCGGGGCAGCAGGCCCAGCGCGGGGTACAGGCGCATCGTCTCTGCGGAAGACGAAGACCCACGCCGTCAAGACGTCAAGAGGCTCGTCGGAGCAGAGCTCCACCCACAGCGCCGCACAGCGCCCCGCGGCTACACTCCAAATCCAGGGTGTCTAGAAACTATACGCCTTAGGCGTATGCCACAGAAATGGAACTGCCTTAAGGCGCCTTGATTCTACACGCCAAAGGCGTCCCATTGAGCACCTTTTGCAGATAGAAGTTAGCCTGTGAACACCATTGGTCGAAGGAAAGGTGCGTGCATTGTACACACCCTGGATCATAGGCACTGAGCTCAACAGGACTCTAGGTGCGTTGAATGCAAACACCGCCCTTGGCCGAGGCCATGCCTACCGAGGCCTTAAAGGGTGTTTACATTCTACGCACCTAGAGTCCTGTTGAGCTCAGTGCCTATGATCCAGGGTGTGTACAATGCACGCACCTTTCCTTCGACCAATGGTGTTCACATGCTAACTTCTATCTGCAAAAGGTGCTCAATGGGGTATACGCCTTTGGCGTGTAGAATCAAGGCGCCTTAAGGCAGTTCCATTTCTGTGGCATACGCCTAAGGCGACACCCTGGATTTGGAGTGTAGGCAACCCATTCGACAGCACGCAGCTCGGCCGTGACGCAGACGACGTGACGGCCCCCGCACGCCCACCGCGCCACACGGGCGTCATCAGTACTTACGACAGGCTGCAGGAGGCTCAGCAAGCATCACTAGGTTCTAACCTTGATTCTAGGCGCAAGAGTCACTGCCAAGCGCACAAGCATTCATCGAGATCCTGATTTGTTCGGTCCGCTCGCGAACGTAAACAAAATCTCCTTCTCTGGTGGACAACCATTCGGATGTTTTTTCTTGGGCCGCGCGCCACGGCGCCACCAACAATCAAATTGTCGTTGGTGTTTCTAGGATTTGGCTGGCGCTTGGGTCCAGCCAGTCACGCCAAGGTCAATAGACGACTTGAGCTAGGCGAAAGAAGAGGAAGGAAACACCTTCCCGAACATGGCGGACGGCCGCCGTCGGCTGCTAGGACCAATGAGGGGCCGGCCGCCATGTTCGGGAAGGTATTTTCTTCCTCTTCTTTCGCCTCAAGTCGTCTGTGCTTCACCTTCAAGGACCTGCTCCATGTAGGTCATCTCCTGCAGCGCCTCGTACGTGATGGCGCCGTGCTTGGCCAGCACGCGGTCCACCTCCTCCCGCAGCCGGTCCTGCACGTCCTGGTGGTGGGCCAGCTCCCCGAGGCAGGCGCTGGTCGCGCTGGACGATGTCTCGAAGCCCGCCACGAAGAAGATGAAGGCCTGGGCCGGCAGGATGGTCGGGTCGATGGCTAACCGGAAAACACGCTATTAAAAATAGTAAAAAGGCGGGAGAGGGAGGAACATGAAAGGGTTGTCGGCTGACCTCCGGCCTTCTTGATCTGGATCAACAGGTCGAGGAAATCGTGGCGGTGGTCGCCGGTGTCCTCCCTGAACCGCACGTTCTCGTTGAAGGTCTTCGTGAAGAAGGAGGTGACTTCGGAGTCGAACAGCGGCAGCGGGATGAGGCGGCGCAGCGTCGGCAGCGCCGTGTGCATGACCTGCGCGACGAACGGTCAGCAAATCGGTCAAGACTGGCAGGGCCATCGCCCTTGCCATCGCCTCCGAGGCGCAGGGCCCTGCACACTCGTGGAAATCTTGTCGGACTGTCAGAAACCTGTCTGAAAACCTGATCAAAATTCGCGCACCCCTGAAAGCTGAAAACATCTCCAGACATTCTGCAGAACTCAAACCATCAATATCAGAGTAAGTTTTCAGAATTTCAGCTTTTAGAGGTGCGCGAATTTTGATCAGGATTTCAGACATGTTTCTGACATTCTGACAAAATTGAGACGAGTGCAGGGCTGCAAGGCTTTGGGTTGTACCGCGTTGCACGCACCAGAAGCAGCGCACGCCACTGCGAGATGTTGAACAGCTTGCGGCCCATGTTGCGGAACGCGGCGTTCGGGTCCTTGAGCGAGTTGGTTTCGACGCCGAAGGCACAGGAGCCGATGACGTCCGTGGTGAACTTGGCCATGACCTCGGCCATCTCCAGCTCGCCGCCCGCGGCCGTCTCGGCCGCCAGGAAAGCGTCCAGCTGCTCTGCGCACGCGCGCACCAGGTAGAACATGTTCTTCATCTTGCCGGTCGTGAAGGTAGGCGTCAGCTTGGCGCGCAACTCTTTCCACTCGGAGCCCTGCAAACGCACCGAGCAGGTCAATTCCTTGCACATTGCAGAGTCCCACACTGGTAGAACTCAAGCGTACTTTTACGCCTTTCTTCAAGCGTAGTAGAACTACGCTCGGCTGGCTTCAAGCGTAGTTCTCCATTTTGCCCTGTATGCTTGAATCAAGCATTCAACTACGCTCCAGTTTTACCAGTGCAGCTCGAGGGGGCAAAAACTCGGGATTTTCGTGTACACATGATTCGGAAAACGCAATGATTGCGCATGGTTTTAATTGATTTCATGGCTGATTTTGCCTTATTTCGCGACGCACCAGGGTGATGTTGAGCGTGATTGCGTGTGATTGTGTTCGGAAAGAAATGATTTCGGACTGATTTGGCCTGGTTTCGTGTGATTCTGCCTAATTTCGGTCGATTTTAGTGATTTTGGCTGATTTCGGATTGCTTGATTTCGCGTGATTCTCAATGATTCGCGTGTGATTTCGGGGGGCCGTGTACACATGATTGCGCGAGTTTTTGCCCCCTCGGTGCAGCTGCACCTGCTGGAGCCCCCAGCTCACCGTCAGGTTGAAGAGATGGGCCATGAGAGGGTCTCGGCGGCGGTCGATGGCATGGCCGCGGTCCGTGATGTACTGGAAGTCCTTGACCAGCAGGGTCTTGAGCAGGTCCACGTCGCACACGATGAGCACGGGCTGGCGGCCCAGGAACACGCCCAGGTACTTGTGGCCGCTGGACTTGGCGCGGTGGTAGAAGCGCTTGGCCACCTCGCCGCGGTACTCGGTGGACAGCAGGAAGGCCAAGGAGCTGCCGACGAACGGCATGGGCTCCAGGAAGGGCACCCCGCGCTTGGCCCAGTAGTCCGCCGTAGCTTCGTCATGTAGTCAGTAACAGCTGGCGGCGAAAGAGCACGACCTGCCCGGGCGAGCCGAGCCAGCAATATGAACCGATGGCATCGCGTGTCTGGTTGGCGCACCTGTCGACTAGTCACGACTGACCAGGCAAGCTGGCGACTACGAGAAATTGTCTACGTACCTAAGCCCTGATTCTCGTGATGGGAGATCAAGATATGCACCTCATTGCTTCTATTCGGTTTAAAGTTGGCAAAACCCGGAGCCCACTACCGCGTTCCGCAATGCCCGCTTTCCAGCACGGGCAAGGGGAGATGACCAACCGAGACTTCTAGGAACTTGGGAGTGAACAAGGATATAAACAACAACACAATCTTCTATTCGGAAATAAAAAGTGTAATCAAAACACTCGCGAGACGCTCACTGTCTGTGACCTCTCGTATCTCCTAAATAGGCGGTCCTTTCTTGCAGGTGCGAGGAGAAGGGGAGAACCAACGCGATAGATTAGATACCGCCTTTCTCATTTTGTGAGTTATCTCCGCGGATGCAGGCGCGTCGGAACGTAAATAAAAGTTGGAGGGGATTGCAGGTTGCCTACCTCGCAGAGGATTGACCTGGGGCAGCTCGGAAACTGGGGGGTCAGCTGACCTTCTGACCCGGAGGACCCGGTGCTTCTGACGCCACTGCGCGGATGTTTACGTTTGAGCTCTGGGATTCCTTTGTGCCTTCCCTCATGTAGGGCTCTGCTCTTGCTCTACCTTCCCTACCAAAGAGCTACAAGAGTCGCGCAATTTTTCATAATCCACTAGCCTCACAAGAGGCACAGCGCATGCGCAATCCTCCAATCGCAATTGAAATAGTTAACCTAACCAGATTAAATGAACGAACGTCGTAGACGACAACTTTACATGTTTCTAAACATGCACAATGAATTGTCACGAATAACTCGGTGTTCGTACAACTTTTAATGCAAGTTTAACTATGCCACATGCATCGCTGTAAGTTTTTGCCGGCCCATCCCTTGTGTGCATTTTCCGTTAATATTGTTTTTAGAACCCTTGCAACCAATGTTTGACATTCTTGAACGTAAACAGACATCCGTCAGATTTTGACATCCCCATTCCTTGTTTTTCGGCGATTTTCTTTTTATTGTGTGTTACAATCATTTACAGACTATCATATACAGCATTGTTCACTATAGTCCCTTCCCACAACATTTACGGTTATTTTCAATCAACTGTTAAACTTAGGCTTCAATCTGAGTGGCCTCATTGTGAATTGTTTTTATGATCTCTTATTAGTGACTTTCAATGCATGTATGTTCTCTCAAATTTGTGTGTCTAAAAATATTTGATTATTTCCAATTTTTATGTAATTATTTTAGATGGATGCCACAAAGCACAAGGCTAAGTCAGAGATGGACCGAAAATTTGAAGAGGATTTAGAGCGAGCACGGGCTCTCAGTTTAGAAAGTCTTGCTCTTGAAAAATTTAAGTTACGCAAACAGCAGAAAGAGCTAGAAAGGTTGCATGAGAGCCAGAAACAAAGGCAGCTAAATGCACTGTCCACAGATAGCCAGCCAGACAGTCATGCTCGTAAGATGTCTGCACCTCAAACATCTAATATTAATGCACAAGAAAGATTAGAATTGAAGTCTAGGCCAAGGCCAGGCTCCTTCAACTCTGGTAAGTTCTGCATTGACATTTGATTTAATCCATGACTGCCTCTTAAGTTTTGCTTGCAACATTGTTCTCTTCCTGATTGATAATTTTCATAATATTTTACATTTACATTTTTGTTACATTGAAGGTCCCTCAAAAAATCCTCCAATCTTAGCACCACCTCCAACAGCCAGACGTGTTTCGGTTGCGTCTGCAGACAGTTCAAGAGACCTCATATCCTTTAGCAGCCCAGTTAAAGATGACAGTCATTCCTTATATCCAGATTTGGAAGATCTGAGTTCTCCCTTTGCTCGTCAAATGTGAGTTTCCCTCTTATGAATTTTGTGTTTTGTGCTTCCAACATTTTTTCAGAAACATATTCTCTTAATTGTATAGGTTTTAAATATCTTATCTTCTCTTTCAGTGATGTTTCTTCCTCAAACGAAAATATGGTTTCTATTGTATCTTCCACTCCTCGGCTAAACCGAAGTAATAGCAGTGTCAGCCACTTAGGGTATGTCCGTGTGTAGAATCATTTATTGAATTTGTTTCTTTATCTTTCAAACTGTGATTTCTCTTAATTTTTTGTTTTTGCAGGCCACAGAGACATTTATCGTTAGATAACTCTCCAATCGCTGCTCCCTCCCTTTCGCATTCCCACAGTGATAGTGTAGCTATGAGGAACATTCAACTCCCAGGGTTTAATAGTTCAAGCAATGTCAACAATTATTCAAATTTTTCAAATATGTCAAGTATATCAAGTCTATCAAATTTTTCAAATGCATCCAGCTCGACGTTTCCCACAAGTCCCTTGTCATCGTCAGCTCCATTTTTGGGATATTCAGCTGGCCAGCCCTATCGCACCTTGCAAGCTGTAGACACTTTGAAATCAAGTTGTTCCATGACTGCCTTTGGTGGAATGTCTATGGTACCAGCCTTGATGGGGACTCCATCCATTCCCTTTCGCTCGTATGAAATACCAGCCAACGGATCTTCTGATTCTGGATTGAGTACAGCAGGATCTTCTACGTTGTCCCAAGTACCCTTTCCTGCAATAACGCAATCGGGTGAGCTGAATAGCTCAGGTCTGGAGGTACTCAAGATAGTTGAGAAGAAAGATAATAGCAACCTAATAGACTTGTCCCTGTTTGAAACTCAAGAAACCAACCTCAGCCAAGGACATCAGAAAAGCAACAATGGCACTTTAGTGCGTACTAGTGTTCTGGAAGCTTTCGACCCTTTAATGACATCCCAGGACCAAGTCTCAGTTCGTCCTCCAACAATACAAGAAAATTCAGGAGAGCCAGATGAAATCGCTTCGCAGTGCTCAGGCAGCTTCTATGATCCGTATGACCCTTTTGACTTCATGTATGCTCCATCAGAGGGTTCGCAATCTGATCCTGTCTATGCAGCTGTTGTTAAGAAGAAAGACCTGTCAGAAAATGTTGTCATATCTCCCAGTGGATCAGCACCCCCACCGCTGCCTCCCAGAAATTATGCATCAAAAAAAGCAGAAGAAAAGAAACAAAACCGTCACAAGAGTTTCCTGCATGAAGATATATCTCAAACATCTTGCAATACTTCTTATATTAGCAGTGACTTGCGCGCTTTCCACGCCATGGTGCTTTCACTGAGAGCTGAACACTTGCATGATGACTTGTACACTAACACTGGCCTTGTCACAAGCTCTACCATTGAGAGTCATTACTCCGAAGGAACAAGCATAAAGTTAGTTGTTCACTCACTGAATGGGAAGAACAACCAACCTGTCACATTCACGTGTGATGTAGACTCCACAGTCGAACACGTTATACTCCATGTTATGTGTGAATTAGAAGGTGACATTTCTGGTGAAGCCAGTGATTATGTCCTAAGAGTTTGGGGCTTGGCAGAATATCTAACTCCTAGCACCTCTTTGTCAGACTATGAATACATTCATACTTGCATAAAACTTGATGAGGATGTGACCCTGGCCATTATGCATATGGATGAAGTCTGTAGACCACTGGCCCGGACAGTTCAGGATGATAATAGGGACAAATCTTTGACTCTAGAAAACCTACTGCCAAATGAACCGGTCACGCCCATTGCATATGAATCCCTTCTTATTTTATTAGAGACTCTGGAAAAAGAGATGAACAGACTACAAAATGCTTCAGAGCATGTGGTAGGCAATAGTGGTCTACAAACTAAAGGTGTTGTCCAAGCAGTTAAAGCTGTATGTGCTCTTCTTGGAAATGTTGAAACCTCAGAGGTCACAGAAGCTGTTGAAGGTATGATCCAGCATTGCACCCATCGTACCCAATCTTATTCTGTGCCTCCAGTGCAGCCTAAGCCGGTAAGTAAATTGTAGTTCACTCTGATTCAGGATATCTTTGGCATCTTTTACAATGCACTTAAATTTTGAAATATATTTTCAACAGGAAGTGGAGAGCTCCTACCGCACAGAAATTGGTGGGGATGATGGATATTATTCAGTGGTTACTCTACGACGTAAAGAGAACAGTGAAAGAACCTTCTCTGAAATGGTTGTCAACCAGTGTGATAAGATTAGAGATGCAGTTCATCACTTAATTGAAACTTATTGCCAAGCCTTCAGAGTTAATTTTCAACTAGAACCTCACCATACCATCTCATCAGGTAATTAATTGTTTTAGGATGGTTATAAGCCAGTCCTTAAAACACAAAATGTTCTTTCTAACAGAAAATTACAAATACTAAATACACCTAAATTTCTTTTTTAAAACCAGGAAAAAGGTGTCTTTCAACTGTTAATGATTGCGTGCTTGTGCACATTGATGGTTTACACCGACTACAATCTACTTGGGATCATGACGAATACCTCATTGCTGGACAAATATATCATGGAACACGACCTATTGGACACACTGTCCTGACGCAACCTGTGCCTGTACAGAATAGTTATTACAAGAGGGTGCTTTTTGACTCTTGGTTAGTAATTATTGATGTGCATTGTTGCATTTTATTTACTTCATCCTTATTTAATTCCATTCAAATTAATGCCAGGCTAAACTTTGACTCTTTGAGTGTAAATATGCTACCCCGTGAAGCCCGCCTGGTCCTAGTGCTGTATGGGAGATCAGTCACTAAGTCGGCTGACAACAGTGACCATGATGGCCATGATGGCTCACAGCAGATGAGTGAAGTGGAGTTAGGTTGGGCTTCATTGCAGTTCTTCAACTTTGATGGGTAAGAATATAAACTCTGTTTCTTTATTTAAAAAAAAATCTTTTTGATATTTTTTTATTGATATTGATTATTGACTGTTTTATTTATTACTTATATTATCTGGTTTTTAACATTGTGGTATCTATTTTTAATGCTTTTAGAGTCCTGACGCATGGTACCTTCCTTGCCTCCTTGTGGCCGCCTGGTGCTGACAAACGTCTTGGCCCTGCTCCATTGCCTGGCTCTCATCCCCACAGTGATCTTCATCCTGTTCTTGGTGAGTGGTCTAAGTGAATACTGTACTCATGTTAAAAATGTAAAAGTTTTGCAGTTTCATAGATTCTGTGGCTTCTTCTTTAATGCTTTTAAATGGTTTTATCAGGTGTGGAACTACCAGATTATGGAGGAACTCTTGTGTTCCCTTCAAAAGGAAATAATGAGACTGTGGTCTCGGCCCCAACCTATGACTTTGAGAGTCTTGATCAAAACACCCAGCAGCAATTGCTGGATATCGTAGGACAAGACACATTCACAAGGTTTGTTTGTCTTGTACTGAGATAAATCCAATTACATTACCTAGCTATTGAATGTGGCACTTTTAAGAACACTTTATTTTTTCACAGACCGGTTCCAGCAGACAGAGAAGTTTTGTGGGAGAAGCGACACTACCTCCATCACAAGCCAGAAGCATTGGCTAAAGTTCTTTTGGCTGCTCATGATTGGGACCATGCCTCAGCATCTCAAATTCATGCCTTGTTGCATTCCTGGTCACCTATGGAACCTGTGCAAGCTCTTCAGCTGCTTCTTCCCTGGCAAGAACAAAGATGAACTATTTGCTTTAGTTTGTTGCTGCCGCTAATACTACAACATTCATTCTATTCATTTTTTGTTTAGCTATCCCGATGGAGAGGTGCGGAGGATGGCAGTATTATGGATCCAAGACATGGGAAGAGATGAAATAATAGATTACCTACCACAGCTGGTTCAGGCATTGAAGCATGAAACTTATGACTCTTCTCCTTTAGCTGCTTTTCTTCTTCGTCGGGCATTGTGCTCGCCCCGAGTAGCTCACCATCTGTACTGGCTGCTCACTCAGAGTTTGCCAGGACAATGTCCACAGGTTGGTAAAAGAAATAAAGTTACTCTGATGTGGCCAATTTCATCTAACTCTGCTATTAATGGCAATAATTACAGAACACTTCTGAGGCAACTGGTACAGATGATGTCAGTGTTTGTGAAGCCCGCTACCATAGGCGGTTTCAGCTTATGCTACGAGCGCTACTCTCAATATCTGGAGAGGCCCTTCGTCAAAGGTTCTTAGCACAACAAATGCTTGTTAAGGTAAGAGACTACAAAAGAACGTGATTTTGCATTTATTGAAATGTATGTATGTATAGATTTTTCACACTGCTGGTTTTTTTTTCATAGAATCTGTTAGATGTTGCACAATCTGTTAAGAGCACAAAAGAATCTTTACGGATTCAAACATTGGTACGAGATTTGGAGTGGGTACATAGATCTTTGGAAGAGAACTCGTCTGCAACATGTTTGCCTCTAAGTCCTGCTCTTGAAGTTTCTGGGATACAAGTGCGCACATCATCTTATTTCCCTTCCAACACACTACCTTTAAAGATAAATTTTATTGGGTCCAACTCCGGAATTATTCCTGCTATTTTCAAGGTATTTTTCTCGGTAGATCAGATATTTTAATTGCTGAGCACCTTGTAACTCTTTGATAAACACTTTCATTCATTCGATCTCTAGGTTGGAGATGACCTTCAACAAGATATGTTAACCATTCAAATGATTCGTATAATGGATAAACTCTGGTTGAAGGAGGGCCTTGATCTAAAAATGGTAACATTTTCTTGTGTTCCAACTGGCCACAAAAGAGGAATGATAGAAATGGTGCAGCAGGCTGAAACGCTCAGAAAGATTCAAGTTGAACTTGGTCTAACTGGATCTTTCAAAGACCGCCCTATTGCGGAATGGTTGGCTAAGCACAATCCCTCAGCTCTAGAATATGAACGTGCGGTCAGCAACTTTACAGGTAAGGAAATGAAATTTAGTCAGTTGTATTCCCAATGGTTCGGGAAACCTGTTACTTCTTGTAAGTTGTCACTAACCAGTACGTATTTGTTTTGTTTCTAATATTCACAGCATCCTGTGCGGGGTATAGTGTTGCCACTTACATTTTGGGTATATGCGACAGGCACAATGACAATATTATGTTGAAAACATCTGGTCATCTTTTCCATATTGATTTTGGAAAATTTTTGGGTGATGCTCAAATGTTTGGAAATTTTAAGCGGTGAGTAATTAAAAAGATTTGACTATGTCATTGTTCTAATGCTATATTATTTTGTGGATATACTGTGAATGTCAATATTTTTTTTATTTCTAGTGACCGCACCCCATTTGTACTGACCTCTGATATGGCTTATGTTATCAATGGTGGTGATAAACCATCAGTAAAGTTTCATCATTTTGTTGATTTATGCTGTCAAGCTTTCAACATTGTTAGAAAGCATGGAAATCTTGTACTGCACATGTTTGGTCTTGTAAGTTATTCAACAATGTCCTTTTCTTTTTCTTTGATCTTGGTGTAATATTATTTCTATTTACTTTCTTTAAAATTCAGATGGCATCATCAGGTATATCTGGAGTGACTATGGATGCTGTTAAATATGTCCAACGTGCCCTTCTTCCTGATTTGTCCAAGCCTGAAGCTGATGCATACTTTGCTCGTATGATTCAAAGCTCTTTGAAGAGTTGGTTCACCCAATTTAACTTTTTCTTGCATAACCTCGCTCAGTTGAGATTTACTGGAGATCATAATGATGGAGAACTTCTCAGCTTCATTCCTAAAACTTACACGTATGTTTGAAATCTTTCTCTTTCCTCTCATGGAGGGTTTGCAGTTCCTGCAGCCAGGAATATTACAATGAATATTTTGAATTGTACTTGTAATTGTTTTTTCCCATTTCTCGTCAGAATGCAACAAGAGGGTCGCATAAAAAGTGTTGCTGTCTATGGATGTCAAAAGCGATATGATCCAGAAAAATACTATGTTTACATACTAAGAGTGGAAAGAGCTAACCAGCCAGACCCATCATACCTCTTCCGTTCATACAAAGAATTTTGTGAACTACAACAAAAGCTATGCATCCATTTTCCACTTGCCAAATGCCACAGGTAAGATCTATTTCTCTTTCAAAGTTGCCATCCCTTCTGAAGGAAGGGTTGTATATTTAACAAACTTGGGTGGTGAGGAATGAAGTTCTTGACAGCTTTAAAAATCAACAAATTTGGGATAGTTTATTACACTTTTTTCTTACTGGTTTTACAATTGCCAAAATCTTTTAGTATTTTCTCAATTTCTGAGATTTAAATTTGTAGAACAAAATCTTTTTCTTGATTTGGAGCATTTCTACTCTCAGTTATATTATTATCTTCTTGTTTTTCTCTTCCAATGGGTTCATTAATTATTTCGCCTTGTAAACGTTTCTCAGAATCTGTGTCCTCTTTATTTCTTGCCGGAACTTCCATTTGTATCATTGATGGAACAGATTGTAGGCGTGTCAAGGGAGATCTTACTGGTGGAGCTGGTGGTATTGGTTTTTGTTGTTGTTGTGTACCTCCTGCTATGGCATTCTCTTCCTGCACTGTCTTTCGATAATTTCCAAAAACCCATGATTTCGGCCTCTCTTTGATAGTGTATCTCCGAAGTCTTGGATTGAACCAGGAAGCTCGACGCAATCTGTATAGAAAAGTTTGCACAGTAAATTGTTGGTTTCAGTTTGAAGCTATACTTCCATAGGTGCAATTCCCACTATTCTGTTTTTCAAAGTTCATATTTTGAACTGCCTTACCTGTCGTCTCCATCCATTGTAGAGTTGAACTTGTTCTTGGTTATTTACCTTCAAACATTCAGAGCAATGCATCAACTTTTTTTTTCAAAACACGCCCTTGAATCAAATCAGCAGTGATCTACCTAACTTTGAAACTCTTTGATACTAAAACTGTCCCTAATTAGTCTGGCTACGTTTTCACAGCACTGTTAATGTTTAACTTTATCACAAAATTTACCAAGTAAAAAGTCTCTTTCCTTCCTCTATAAACGTGGGTTTCAAGTGGTGGGAGCTGTGTGTTCAAACCTGTACTGGCACGCACCTCTTATCAGTGCCTTGTCAGATGGGAGATTATGTGAGGGTTATCTTGAGACATTCCTATTGTCTGCAAGCAAAAAACAAGAAAAATGAATGATTCATTCTCAATTGCAGTTAAACCCTTTTAAACTGTCGATCGGTGGTCCGGACCAACGGCTGCTGACGTTTTAATCATTTGACTCTTTAAGTGGGTTTTACTGAGCCTCATGTGCTTCAATTTAGACCGTTGGTTTGTTGTGTAAGCCTAAGGTGTTTATGTTTTACATGTTTCTTTAACTTTCAGTCTTACCAGTGGGCTTCACATGGGCAGATCAAACATCAAACAGGTTGCAGAAAAGAGACGTCTGGATATTGAGAAGTTCCTCGTGTCCCTTTTCCGAATGGCTGACGAAATTTCACACTCTGATCTTGTTTACACGTTTTTCCACCCTCTTTTGAGAGACCAGGAAGAAATCAGTATGGCCAGTATAAATGCAACCAAATTTAAAGGTAAACTCACGTTATCATTTTTCCATTCAAATTTATTTTTCTGTGCTTTTTTTTCTTTTGTTCTCTTTTTTTCCATATTTCAAAGTATTTTTATTGCAGAGAGGAAGGCATCTCGACCCCAAGGCATAGAAGCACATTGCCTGAAGGGACAGTTAAAATTGTCCCTGCAGTACCAGAGAGGCACCTTAATGGTAATTGTTGTAACAATTCAGTACGTACTGCTATTGCCTTCATACTGTTACCTTTACACTTTTGCCCCACAGGTCATGGTTCATCATGCCAAGGAGCTACCCTCATTAGCAGGAAGTCAGGAGCCATCGGCTTATGTAAAGGTTTATTTGTTGCCTGATCCTTCCAAAGCAACCAAACGAAAAACAAAAGTTGTTCGAAGAAACTGTCATCCAACTTTTATGGAAATGGTAAGCATTGTTTATTGTTAGCATTCACTTTGACTTTTTTTTTTTGTTGAATAAAACTTTGAATGACATTATAATTTTTTTAACACATACGTTTTACAGATTGAATATCGTATGCCATTAGATATTGTACGCCACCGTACTTTGCAGGCTACAGTATGGAATCATGACACATTGCAAGAAAATGAATTTCTTGGAGGTATATCCTTGCCTTTGGAGTCTTGTGATCTATCAAAAGAAAACACCGAATGGTATTCCCTTGGAAATGTCTGCAGATGACCTTGGTAGTTTGCTTGTTACCCCATAAAAAGTAAACATCCAGAAAATTTTCCCCACTCATTATTGGCACTCAGCAACAGAAACATGATAATTTTAATTTGAAATTTTCATTTAATTTCTTTGAAGTTTTTAGCACAATTTGTGAGTGATAGATAAACCTCAAGTGTTTATCTTGGGTTGTGAGTGTTTTCAAGGTCTGTCAAACTCTTCTGACTCTCCATTTGTATACATTTATCTTAAAAGAAAACATTAATATCATACCACTTTAATCAAGTTTGTGTAGCATTGTGCCCTCCTTTTGTTTGGCATAAGTAAATCTTTAACATAGATATGTACAATATTCTTGTAACTTGCTATTTTTCAAACAAAATGTGACATATAAGGCAAAATGTTGTAATTTTTTAAAGAAATTCTCCTAATCAAGAAGCCTTGGAACAAAGCAAATTCAATTAGATGCTCAAAGACAAAGTATATATTTTTTAAAAGTTGTGGTTAAATGTTAGTAGAAATGATGGAATTTTGTATGGATATTTGTTGTTCACTATGGTGCCTCATGAATTTGATGCTTTCAGCACACTGTGTGTCAGACTGAACAGATGTTTTGCTGTGATGGAATTGTATTCTACTTGATAAATTGTTATTCCTATTTGTATATATGTGTGTGTGTTTTGTCTTCTTTTTTTTTTTCTAATCAAATTGAATCAAGTTGACTGCTAATTGAACTGATTTGGTTAAAATATTTGTCATTTATGTCAATGAGCTGATAGGAAAGATTGTTGGAAGGTGAATCATCAAACATGGGATGATTGATAATCGTATTACTGATATTGTTGATACAGTATTGTGTACTGTTAAGATTTGTGCATTTTTCTTATTGTAATTTACTTGTGATGAATTTATTCCTTTCCATGTATACTTGCTCGCCCGATGTACATGTAATTAGGTGCTGTTTTTACTTCCCATCCTAGATTTTTGTTCTTTGAGATTGTTCAATAGACATCACAATTTTATGAAATGGGTATGTAAGTTTTAGCATGTGTTTCATTTGCTAATATTCTACAAATCCATCTCACAGATGTTTATAAAGGGTACAATTATTTCTTATTCCTTTCTGCATATATTTAATGAAATGAGATAACTATGGTTTCTTTTTGTAATTATTTATTTCTATTCTTTTTTAAGGTCATTGTTGTGATTTTGTTAGTCTAAATGACCTACTGTTATGCTAATGCAAAGCAGATCAGGTGTGCAATATTTTAATATTTTGGTGTAGTCGTGCTTCATCACTGCCAAGGTCTTTCTTTTCCTTGAGTCATTCCTTTTTCCTGGGTGTTCTTTAACATTCTTCATTTGATAATGTCAAGAATGTCAATTGACATCCCAATTGCCTCAAAGTCATTGAGTGTGTGGTAGTTATTGAAAGTTTCTTACGTTATGTGCTGCCTACTATTACTCAGACCTTAGGCTTGTTGGCTTCTCTTAATTTTATACCTACTAGCCATTATGCTGTATTATTAATTTCCAATTTTAAAGCTTACCCATAATTGCGTGGGTGGATAAAAACCAAAACTGAGACCAAAAATGTTTATCTTTTAATGTAAGCATAATTATTATGTTATATGGAAAGCAGTTCTCACTTCTAACTGTTCGTATTGTCATCATTTCTCTTTCAGAAATAAGTTGTACAGGTGGTGCTTTCATTTAATAAAGACTCTATATTTTGCTCTGGACAACCGTATGTTTACTTCTTCGGTCCCTTACGCAAGAACCATGTCGGGGATGCACAGCACAGTGGCGTGACTGCCAGCACACTCTGAGCTCTTTTGTTTTTCGTCCTGCATCCCTGAAGATCTCGTCCCTAAAGGTTCCATCATTGTGATTTGGTTTTAATCTTAATTGAGGATCGAAAAGCTTTAAACACTCCACGTAGTCTTGTACACCAAAACATCTTGCGGCTCACTGAGGCACAGGGAGGGAGCACCTTGAGGACGAGGAAGGGAAGGTCCCCCCCACAGAGGGCGAGGAAGGGAAGCCCCCTCCGCGAGAAGGGGGAGGGGGCGAGGGAGGGGGTCACTACGGTGCGGCGTTGTAATGACCAACAAAAGAGGCCTTTCGCTCCGAGGCCGAAGCGCCTCACCACCGACCCTCTCAGCCCCCGAGCCTCACCGCCTCTCCCCGCGCGGCCTCATCAACAATAAAGTCGAATGCTGCACAAATGGGACGTGGGGGCGCGCGGGTTAAATGGTCGCTTCAAGTGACTCTTTAATGGTCCGAGGATAAAGCAGGGCGCCTGCTGCCTGCCTGCACTGCCCTCGCACCGCGACTACGAGGCGGCCGGGGGCGGCAAAAAGGCGGGCGAGGTTCGACAGCCCCGCTAAACAGGGCAAGCATGAGACCAGTCTCATGGGGCAATCACGACGCGAGCTGATGCCGTTTCGAACCCATGGCTTCAAGTCCTTCACTCCACGGGCCAATTCGCATTCGCCATGGAGGCCGAGAGCAGAGAAGCGTCGACTCCCATCACTGAAGTTGGGGTTCGAAGCCGTTCGGTCGCCAATGTCTTTAGCAAGCTTGCATCGCACAAAGGCGGTTCAAGTTTACAAAATCGGCCGGCGGCCTGCGTGCCTCACAGTTCAGTGGTTCCGCTGCTGGGCAGGGTGACGCAGACTCACTAGTAGGCCCGAGGGGTGCCTCACTCACTGCTCAAAAAAGTGCACAACTGTGTGCAGAATGTGTGGAGTGCTTGGAACGGATTGGAAATTTGGCCGGGTCGGACAAAAGAAGGCCGGACAAATGAAGTACAGTACACCCTCCTAGAGGAGTCTGTCGCGGAGCTGCCGCCCCCTCCCCCCCTCCCCCCCTCTCCCAGTCCGCGGTCGCGGCTCAAGGGCACAAAGCAGAATATTGTTCTGTAATGGAGATGACTGTGACGCTAGTAATGTGGTGAGCAGGGCCTGCGGCCTCTGCGATGTGCTGCCGCGGCCGGGCGCACCCCGGCTGGTGGACCCTGGCTGGAGGGGGCTGGAGGGGGCTGAAGGTCAGGGTGCACGCCCGTTTCCTTCCATCACACCATCATACCGTCCAATGCGGCGAGAAAGCCGGCGCCGGCGTGGGCAGCCTGGCCTGCGTGGCCAGAGGGGAAGGAGTTCGCGGTCGCATCGACCAAAGACAGAATAAAGTTATTTTTCGCGATGGGAAACTTCGTAGGGGCTGGGTGTACCATCGGCGCTGAGAGCGGAAGCGCGCTCACACTGACCTTCAAGCCTCCGCCATCTAGCAGCCTCATCACAATAAGTTGCTACAATGGCGTGGGGCCTTAAATGGTCCCAGCTCTTCAAGGTGCGAGATATATAGCAGGGTGCTCCTGCACTGCAGTGTCACACCGGTCGAACTGTGGGCGAACGGATTGAATGCCCGTAAACGGGCAGATAGCCAGTGCCATTGTAGATTTTCACTCCGAGCGACGTTGGACCGGGATTCAAGTCCTTCCTCCACTGTCCATTCGCTGCGCCAGGAGCGAACAAGCACGATATCTGGAATGGGTTGCGAAGCCGTTGGTAATGCTTGGAGCAGGTTGCATGCACCTTGTACAAGTCGCCGGCGGCCTGCGCCCCCCACTTCAGGTCCGCTGCTGGGCGGGTGACGCGCTCCAGGGCCCGAGGGTCCTCACGCTCACTTGCTCAAAGGCACCATTTCACATGTACGGACGGTTGTTCCGGTCGGACAAAAGAAGCCGATTCCGATTGGAAGTACATCCTCCTGATCTGTCCTAGCTGCCTCCTCCTCCCCTCTCCCCTTCCCCTTTCTCCCATCCTTCTCGCATGTAGGAAAAGCATTGTTCTGATGAGTGCACGACCTAGTATGTGGCAGGGACTGACCTGGTCCTTGCATGGCGTGACCCACTCGGGCCAACCCGACTGGTGCCCTGGTCATGCGTAGGTGGGCTGAGGTCAGGGTGCGCTCCGTTGACTTCCATCACCCTCATACCGTCCAATGCGGCGAGAAAGCCGGCGCGGCGTGGGCAGCCGGGCCCTGCGTGGCCAGAGGGGAAGGAGTTCGCGTCGCATCGACCAAAGACAGAATAAAGTTATTTTTCGCGATGGGAAACTTCGTAGGGGCTGGGGTACATCGTCGCGCTGAGAAGCGGAAGACCGGCTCACACTGCTTCAAGTGCCGCACAGCAGCACACAATATTGCAGGCGGAGGACATAATGTCCCACTCTTCAAAGTGTGGAATTTTCATGTCCTGCATGCAGTTTCACATGTCGAACTGTGGGCACTGATGAAACCTCGGCCCTAACTGTGCACTTCCAGCGAGAAATCTACGGGCGCGGTCTAGGGCGTGATTCAACCCAGGGGGACGCTAAAAGCCAGCGACGGCACTAGAAAGCCATCCGGTCTGACATGGGCGCTGGCGGCGCTGGCGCACTAAGAGCATTTCCGACTGGAATCCCGGGAAATCCAGTTTTCCCTGTTGAATGCTTTGTTCGTCGCTGTCAAGTTCGCGGCGCCGCGGCGCTATCGTAGGGCGGTTCAGGGAACACGGGAAGGGTGCCCGCGCGGAGGGGTTAATTCACCCATTGCTGCTGCTGTGTTCCGCGAACCGGTCCTCCGCGCGCCGCGCACAGTGGGCCAGAAGACCGATTATGGAGGCGGCAAAAATTATAGACGCGTTTTGAGCTGCAGATTCGCTAAATGGGACTCGAACCGAACGTGTGACCCCATCAGTGGACTGCTCTCCGAGCGAGGAATCCATTGGTGGGGTCACACGTTCGGTTCGAGTCCTGTTTTAGCGACTCTGCAGCTCAAAACGCGTCTAGAATTTTTGCCGCCTCCACCGGTCTTCTGGCCCACTGTGTCGCGGTCCGGAAGGCAGCACCGGCTGCGCGGCGCTCGGATCAGGATGCACCGGGATGCACCGAAGCCAGAATAATGGACGGATGATGTTCGGCTGGGTGCCCAGCGAAGCAAGCCAAGCGGCCCGCGGCCCCCGCGGCCACGCCCCGATCTGCTTGCCAATACCCCGAGGGATGAGGAGGGTGCGGCGGTGCACTCGCAGCCCTGGGCCTGGGACGGCGTAGGATTCTCGACTTGGATTCCAATGCTCAGATTGCTTTTCCCCTGTCATGCAGACGGTCTGGTGGTCCGCGGGGCGACCATCGCCATCGCCGAGCACTGCCCCGAGGCGGAGGGAGATGGGAGATGGCAGTGGGGGAAGGGGGACGCAGGCGGGACGCAGGCACGTTGTCCTCGGGCGGGCAGGGCAAGGCCCGACCGGGCCCGATGCCGCGCAGAAGGAAACACACTGAATTGTGACGGCGACTCGCCTGCCCGGCCCTGTCCTGCCTGTCCACACAAATGGAAAGAGGAGGAAAGGGTTGGCTGCGCGCTGCGCTGCGCGGCGTTGCGCGTACCTGTGCCGGCAGTGTGCCGGACAGTACAAGGTCGCGTCGCGTCGCGTCGCCGCGGGGTCCGAACGAGTTCCGGCAAGGCTTTTTCACCGGGAGGCAGGGCACGCGAGGGTCTCCGCGTGCACTGTAAAAAATTCCGTACTTTTGTACGGTACAGAAAAATATAGTACGGAGGTACAGAGAAAAGTACGGAACGTCCGCACTTGTCCCATAAGAACTCATGTAATCGGGTATCGGGTACGGAAAAGTCATAAGTCCGTAGTGCCCGGTCAGGAAATTATTGCGAGTGTTTTTTTCACTGTGTCAGGCAGGGGTCCGGACGAGTACCGGCAAACCGCCTTGACCAGGCCGGCCCGCGATTGTCTCCGGGTGCACTGTCGACTTTCGGCTCACACAGTGTGGGCAGACGAAGTCGGGCTCGGCGCGAGAACTGCGTGCGAACAGCGGCCGGCGCGTGTCGCGGCCGTGCGGCGGTCCGGCGGATGCCGCGCCGGGGCTGCCGTCACTTTCGGGCGCTGCAGCGCGCAGCGGCGCGGCCAGGACTGGTGGAAGGACCGGGGCGGCGCGGGGCGGGGCGGGGCGGGGCGGGGCGGGGCGGGGCGGGCGGGGCGGGGCGGGCGGGGCGGGGCGGGGCGGGCGGGCGGGCGGGCGGGGCGGCGCGGGGCGGGGCGGGGCGGCGCGGGGCGGGGCGGGGCGGGGCGGGGCGGGAGGGGCGGGCGGGGCGGCGCGGGGCGGGGCGGCGCGGGGCGGCGCGGGGCGGGGCGGGGGCGGGGGCGGGGCGGCGGCGGGGCGGGGCGGGGCGGGGCGGGGGGGCGGGGCGGCGCGGGCGGGGCGGCCAGGCGCCAAGGTTGTCTCGTGCAGATCGCCACCACGAGGCCGCCAGCGCCAGGCCGCCAGCACGCGGCGCGCCCCGTACTCAAATCGGCCAGCGAGCTCGTCTGCTTGACGAGACGACGGGGGGACGGGGCCGCGAGGGCGATGGCTCCGGCCGGATGGCTCCGGATGGCTCCGCCGGTCGTCACGGCGTCGTTTGCGTCCCCCAGGGCACGGCACAGCACGGCCGGCGCGGCCCTGGCGCAGCCGGGGCAACGCGCGCTTACGACTTAGAGCTAATTCAAATTGATGGAGCCACGCGACGCTGGCCACAGCGCCACAGCGCGCCGTCCGAGCCTTGGAGCCGTGCAGCATCGGAGACTTGGCGGGGCGAACAGCGCGAGGGCGACCCGCGCCTCGATTTCATCTGCACGTCCTGCGAGCGCGGCGAGAGCGGCTGGTGACGTCACACCGCGTCACGGCCCGGGCCGGCTGACGTCAGAGCCACC